CCCAGGGCAGCCGTATCTGTTGGATGCTGGTCCTGAGGCAGGTCCTGCTGACAGCATGCTGCACATGGACTTCCTAACATTGCCTTTGCAGTGACGGGAGAAAGTTATGTTACCATGCGCTATGGGGGCCACAGGCCTGACCAGGCACGAGGTCTGGATTGAGAAGAAAGCCAAGAAAGGAGAGAGAAAGCTCATGGTTCTCTCATCTAGCCTTAGATCAGCGGTTCTCAACCTGTGGGTCGCGACCCCTTTGGGGGTCGAATGACCCTTTCACAGGGGTCGCCTAAGACCATCGGAAAACACATATATAATTACATATTGTTTTTGTGATTAATCACTATGCTTTAATTATGTTCAATTTGTAACAATGAAATTGGGGGTCACCACAACATGAGGAACTGTATTAAAGGGTCGTGGCATTAGGAAGGTTGAGAACCACTGTCTTTGATGGAGGAGCAAACCTCTTGGAAGCAGATGATGGAGTCATTATTCTGAATTTCCTATGTGAGGTCAAAGCTCTGATTCCTCATCATCAGGTGGTATCATATCACCCCCGTTTTCTCTATAAGGAAAATGAAGCTGAGAAAAAGCTAAATGTCTCAAGTTAGTGTTATGCCATGTTAAGAGCCCAACCCTAATTTCTGCTTAGACTCAATATTAGTTTTATGGAAGGGAAGCTTTCATGAGTTTCTTACCCCCTCACCAGACACTTTGTTCATTTTATTCATCCTGTGAAGTAAAAGCTCTTGTCCTATTTTACAGATGAGGAAACAGAGGCTGAGATTAGCTAACACAATCAAGGGCACACATTGGGTAAATAGAAGAACAAAGCTAAAATTCAAAGTTCATGCCTTCTCCCCATACCTATCTTCTTTCAAAGTATTTGCAAAAAATGCACAAAGCTACTAGCATAGGAAAAGCTCTTTTTTTTTTCTTCTTCTCACTAGGAAATTGTCTCCACCAAGTGGCTATTTTCATTTTTGCTAGTTTGCAATGGAAAATAAGGTACACATCATTTGGAAAACACTTAACTTTTTTTCTTAATCCTCACCTGAGGATATGCATTTATTTTAAATTGACTTGAGAGAGAGAGAAAGAGGAAGGGAGGAGAGGAGAGAGAGAGAGAAAGAGAAAAACATCAATCGGTTGAGAGAGAGAGAGAGAGAGATCAATCGGTTACCTACAGTACTCCTCCTGGCTGGGAATTGAACCTGCAACCTTTTGGTATACGGGCCAATGCTCCAACCCACTGAGCCACCTGGCCAGGGTGAAACACTTAACGTTTAAGGGACACCTTGAAGGTTTCCTTTAACAGAATTCATTAAGGCCACTACATTTTACTAATTAAACATTTCACAGTTGACTAAGCTAGTGATTTCTGTTTATTGCTAACCCATGTTCCTTTCAAAACACCACTTGAACTTTAGCTGAGAATAATTTTCAGCCAGGTTGTTTTTTTAGTATATGCCATCTATTTTTGTTAGTGGGAATGTTTGCCATTTCGTACAAGAGAATTAACTATAAATTATACTTCAGAGAACTTCTAAGTAAATATGTTCATGCTTCAGCACCTTAATGTGTTAATTAGCTATTAACGGTGTCAGTAAATTAGACCTGTCAAAAATAATGGCCTCCTTGACTAGTTTTTACCACCACTTCGCTTGATGGTTTTACTTATAAGTTTTGCCCCGAGGAACTGTTTGAAAGCAAGGTTGTAGAGGTCTGCCTTGCAAAAGATAAACTCTGAGTTGGTTGGCAGTCACCTCAGGCCTGAGTCTGTGGGTGTTTTGAGCACTGGTAGCCCCTAATTCACAAAGCTCAGGTTTACCAACAACTGGATTGCATTTACAGCTGGCAGGGGAGCTATCCCTGGGAACCCCAATCCCTGCTCTTTGCTCCCCGTTTTAGAAAATCTAGCCAATGATTGTGCTGGTGAGTGCCTTTTTGGTGCATGCGACAAATTAGCAATTTATTTATTGGTACTGTTTTCCATCCAGAGAGAGGTGCCTTGCCCTCAAATCAGGGTTTTGAGGGGTACCGAGGAAGGACCTGACCGCATCAGAACCTTGCTTTCCCATCTCTACTCCCACACATGTGCCAAGGGCTGAGATGGGAGAACTGAGTGAGGAACTCAGGACAAAAGGGTATGCGTAGTGGTTAAATAAAGTTTAAAGGCTGCTATTATTTTCCCAGTCCTATTGAGAACTGAATTCATCAGCACGGGATTCTAACCACTGTTTACCATCTGGGAAAACGCATTTTGTGGTCTAAAGCAGTGGTTCCCAAACTTATTTGGCCTACTGCCCCCTTTCCAGAAAAAATATTACTCAGCCCCTGGAAATTCATTTTTTTTTTATTTTAATAGCAGTTACTCATTGCCCCCAAATGCACCTGTGGCCATCACCGCCCCCCTGGATCGCTGCAGCGCCTACCAGGGGGCGGTAGCGCCCACTTTGGGAATCACTGGTCTAAAGGGTCGGACTGTAGGTCTTAACCTTTTGCCAGGCTCCTGCATTTTCTATTCATAAAGCCTGTAAGGTTACTAAAGTAAATGCACATAAAGGTTCATGGTAAAGTTTTGTAGGATAGTTCTTTTTTTACACATATATTGTTGAGGTTACATCATACACACGCTGTTTTGTCCGTTGAGTGATTTCAGTCAAGAGTCAGCTAAAACACCTCAAAACCATAGATTAAAATAAAGCTATGAAGAACCCACATACTGTCCCAGTAGCTCTGGGGATAAGTGATGAGGCAGTTGTGGTTCTGGTAGACTCTCCTTAACCTTGCAAGGAACTAACAGGCTTCTTCTCTCTATCTGGGCTTCTACCTGCTCCCTGGGTTCTGGTAGAGGGACTTGAGGATTGAAGTTTAAAATAGAGCTGGGTCAGTATTGGGCAGCAGTCCCCCAGAGCGCCCTGCAGCGTGATCATTGCTACCAAAACAAGCCTCCATTATCCCGTTTTGCTAAAATGTTCCTGCTACTGTTTTTGATGGTCTCACCATCAGCGAAATGATTTTGTTTAGGAGTAGTTCATGCTACAAAATAGAAGATGATTGTCATTGCCGTCTGAATTTATGGGGGCCTAAATTTGTTCAATTAAATAGAGCATCTTCTGTGAACTCTTTAAAATAGATCGTAGGAATAGGATTAAAACTTAAAATTTTATTCTTTCCCAAAGAAACATGGAGACTGAAGGCTACCTGCCAGCATTATTTTCTGAGTTTATAATTATCATAGTCTTAGAAATCTTATTCATTATAGCTTTTGTCTGAAGACACACAATAAGTAACTTTCAGTCTCTTGGCATTAACAAGGTTTTACAGATTGACAAGTTTAATTCCAAATGTAAACCTGAAGTACATGTATGTTCATTTGCTTAACAAATATATTCTTACACCTAGTATGGGCCATCACTGTTTCAGATTGAAATATGGCATTTTTTCAGGCTGAAATGAAAATGTCCATATGTGGACAAAGTTATTAGTTTAAATCCTGTTAATTTAACATTTCTTAATGTCTGGATGAAAGCCAGGCTGAATTTATCATAACCATGGCTGTGCAAATAAAAATATGTGACTAAGGAAATACATGTTGTAGGAAGAATGATCCAACAAACCAACAGAACAAGCTTTTAGGGTTGCTTTGAAAGCATCCACTTATATGTAATCAGTTAATTTAATAATTATAAGCTATTCTTGCTGTAAATAGCCAATGTTTTTTTAAACCACATTTTATCATATGTGCCCTGGAAATAATACAAAGCCATTATAATAATTCTTAATTTAGACTCCTCATGGCTCATGATTATATTTTAGGTGCTCTCATTTATAAGCTTTCACTAATATTGGAAGATTTCACCCTTTGGGAGGTCTTGCTGCCCAATGATAAATTTTATAATGTCTGAACCATTAAAACATCTGTTTAAAAGTTCCAATGTACAAAGGAGTAAGAGGCTCAAGATAGTGGCAGGTGATGTTTTGCACAGTGAAAAACAGATCACCTGGATTGTATAGTCATATTGGTATGGAATCCATTCCTGCCTCTTACTAACTCATCTCTGTCATATCATAGACACTTTGCTTGCCTCAGTTTCCTCACATGTGAATAATAGCACCCAGCGAGCTAATCTGAAGATTATCCCTTTTCACTCCGAACCATTCTGGACATTGGCTACCAGCTACTCGACGCTACTTTGCGGCGGAAACGTGCATTTACAGACCCTCGTAGTATTTAGTATAATTTTGGAACCAAGTAACGTATTATAATGATATTGGACTTATATGAATTGGGTGACATCGAGGAATGTATATTTGCAAAAAAACCAATATTTTATTGTTTATAATTTTGTACAGTATGATAAGTTTTGTAACACTCCCCAATATGCATTGCAGGCTGATTAGTGCATGTTTGACAGTAATAAGTGGTTTGACGCCTGCCACCAGGTGTTTTCCTGTTAGAACACACAATGCAGTCCCGTTTTCTTTGTCCCACATCGGGAATATGTAGTTTATTGTTTAATCCGACACAAAACCCGCTGACATTTCTTGTATATATCTTAGTAATTTTACGATATTTTGATTTAATTTCTTGTGCCATTTCAAGATAAAACTTCAGGGAAACATGCATGTCTCAAAAAGTTGCGTTGAAATAACTCAATTCCCCGTAATCACTAATAAACTGCAATGTCCTCTGAGAGGGGACATCCGAGTGATATGCTAGAATTCCGATGTCCTCTGAGAGGGGACAGCGGAGTTCAAAGGGTTATGCATAAACTGAACTTAAAAGTGTGTGACATACAACAGGCACTCCATGTAGGCTAACTTATTTTCCCTTCTTGCTTGTCTTACCCCGTGTTTTAACAATTACGGTTATTTATTTACTTTTGTTTTTTTTGGAAAACAGAACAATCGTTCAGGAGGACAATGTAGAACGAGGATTTCTCCCTGGACAGCCACCTGTTTTATGTTAACATGTAAATGACCTACTCTAATTGCAGGTTATATCCAGGCATGTAGAGGACTTATGATTGCCGCTGTCAGCCTGGGCTTTTTTGGTTCCATAATTGCCCTGTTTGGAATGAAGTGTACCAAAGTCGGAGGCTCAGAGAAAGCCAAAGCTAAAATTGCTTGTTTGGCTGGGGTTGTATTCATACTGTCAGGTAAATAGTAACTTTCTCCCAAACAAGGTACTTTCACCATGTTAATGAAATAGCACTCACTAACCACGGTCCTTTCCCTCTGATGCATTTTAGGGTTATGCTCAATGACCGGTTGTTCCCTGTATGCAAACAAAATCACAACGGAATTCTTTGATCCTCTCTTTATTGATCAAAAGTAAGTACTCACCTCAGTCTGTATGTTTCTAGTTCACAGGAAATGTACATAAAATCATATTCTAAATTAAGGTATGGAAACTTTCTCCATGGCTTATGAAAAGAAAGTGAGATATAAGGGGTAGATGGTATTTGATGACATCATTCAAGAGTAAACATTTTAGATGCTACGTTGGCAAATGATGCATTTAATTACTACATGAGTGTTACATGTTGTCTTGTTTCTAAATAGCTTAAGGTGTCGGATTTAGAAATCTAAACTTCATCCACCGGATATCATAAAATTGAAGCTAAATGGAGGGAAAGTGGAATAGAAGTGTAAGATGGGGAGGAAAGAATGATGAAGTGTGAGAACAGAAAATTGAAAGCTTGCCTCGGTTTTGTCCATCCAGAACAGTATTTTCCAGATGCTAAGCTCTAGGCCAGTTTACATCTGAAACATTGAGATTAAAACAAAGGAAACTGTGCTTCTGAAGATTAGAAACATTCTAATATTTAAATGAAATATTATTTTTCATTTTTAATTAGCCTAAATTGCTCTGTTAACTATGGCCTTAACATGCTCCACCTAATAAACCTTTAAATGTAAAAAATCATTGTATGTGATGCAAGCATTTTTTTTAAATGCTCTGGGAGTGGCACAGACACTCAGATGTGACTGGTCTCAGTTGCAGGTGAATGCTTTGGCATTTACAGATCAGTTTGCTTGTTGTTGTTTTAACTATGGGCTGTTGCTTTTTATAGTTTCCTTGGGCTTATTTCTTTGCATTGGGAAAACCCCATGGGCACCAAATTAGAAATAATAACATATCAGATGTTTTGTCTTTCATGAGAGTATACCCACAGAACTCTGTGGAGAGCCATGTGGGTATGCTGTCCACCAGACTGGTGATTCTCTTTCAGTCTTTAGATAAAATGTTATAGAAATTTTTAAAAAAGTAATCACTAAAATGGCTGGTCAGGTCTACATTACTTTTTTTCCAGTGGATTTAGAAATCTTCAGAAAAATTGATTTTCTAGTTCTCTAGTATAGTTTATGCATAAATAGTAAGAGCTTATATAATGAAATGCTTATATAATGAAATGCTTATATAATGACATGTAATGAAAATAACAGCTAACACATTGAGTCCCTTCCATGTAGCCGGCAGAGCACTGCAGAGATTCTTTATTTTATTCTTACAACAGCTTTATGAAGTAGGTTCTCTTGGTACTCCCTTTTTTAAAATTGAGGAAAGAGTTCAAGTAATGTGTCCACTGGAACTTGGACTAAACTAGAAGGCTGATAGAACTATGGCTCAAACCAGGTGGCCAAACTCTGGAATGCTCGCTGTAAAATGCATGATTTATAATATTGGACTACTTTATCATTTTTGTTACAGTATGCTACAGATATTTTTCATTAAGAGAGTTTCTCTTGTACATTTAAAATGGTTTTTATTCTGAAATTTTATTAAATGAGGAACAAAAACAACTGTTAGAACTATGTTAGAAAAATGTATTCAGTTATAAATTTTCGATAATGATATTTGCATAGATGTACATGACATCAAACATTGAAAACTGAGATGACTCCTGAAGATTGGAAATATTTTAATGATATTTAAATGAAATGCTATTTTTCATTTCAATGATACATTTTTATTTCTGGGTTAGTATCATAAATATAGAGCAAAACTGTATTTCTCTTGGTTTATTGTATTAAGGACATTGCTGACTTTTCTGGATTATCTTTTCTACATCACTGTTTTAATTCCCTGACAATTATCAAGGATGTCAGAAACTTAAAAATAGTTTTAACCTTTCCTCAAAGGTCATGGCTAATTCATGTATGCACCGTAACGTACACGTGTTCTTTGTGTGGTTTTAGTCTGTGCTGCTCTATGCTCAGTCACCTTTTTCAGTTTAGTACAATAGAATTTCTTATTCTCCTTTCAGATTTTAGTGAAACTCAGTTCACTAATTATGGACTCTGAAAGGTTTCCCTCTTTTCCACATTCTTGGTGCTACATTGAACTATCCTGTTCCCACTCAGCCTCCCAGCATTTCTCTTTCCATCTATGCCTACTCACGCCCTCTGTGTCTGCATTCTCATCTGCAAAATTAGGCTAATGCTAGTACCCCTCATGTAGAGTTGCTGTGAGAGTTAAGAGAGGTTGCTTATAGGGTGTCCCAAAAAATGTATTCTCACACTTTGAATAATTATACAGGCAGTGTTTATTAAAGTACATTTCATTTTCAAAACTGAGCTGTCAGCTGTTAAACTGTGTATGCATTTTTTGGGATGCCCTGTATATATGCTCAGAACTGATTAGAAATGAGCAAACCCCTGTGTTAGCTATTACTGTATTGTATTGGCTATTATTATTAAGACTAGAGGCCCGGTGCATGACATTCATGCACTGGGGTGTGTGTGGGGGGGGTGTCCCTCAGCCCGGCCTTTGCTCTCTCACAGCCCGGGACCCCTTGGGTGATGTCCGACTGCCAGCTTAGGGGAGCAGGCCTACGCCAGCAGTTAGACATCCCGAAAGGGATCCTTAGCGCTGCCACGGAGGCAGGAGAGGCTCCCGCCACCGCTGCTACACTCGCCAGCTGTGAGCCCGGCTTCTGACCACCAGGGGGGCAGCTCCTGCATTGAGTATCTGCCCCCTGGTGGTCAGTGAGCGTCAGTCGTTCCGCTGTTCGGTAGATGTGCATATTAGGGTTTTATTATATAGGATTGCTTTTTGAAATGCATGTTGTATTTAAGATGTGGCTTATCTTTATAAATGTCTTTATTAAGCTCTTCTGTGGTGACTTAAAATATAACACCTACAATTTGCCAATTTACCTTAATGTAATTAAAAACCACAAGAGCTAGGGATTATGTAAAACAACACGACTTACAGATTGGTAGTATTTATAAGTCACAGGCCCTCCATACCAAGGCCTTATAGAAAATATAGACTTTTTTTTAAAATCGTGCTTATTGAAAACATATTAGCTCTTTGAGATAGAGACTATTTTTCTCACTCATCTTGCACAAAGAAAGGCCCTCTATAACTTACATAAAATCCCTCAGATTAAGGAGTGGTCAAGGCCTGAAAGTTGTAAATATGATCACATTCTAACCACCTACAATGGTAGACTAGAGACATAAAAATGACATGTGACATCTAAAGAAATTCACAGACTTCCTTTTAAAAAAAACAACTCATTTCTGTGCAAACCAACAAGTCGACTACTTGATCTGTTTTCCCTTTACCAACACCTCTCATAGAGGAGATGAAAATTGAGAAGATCAATAAGCTGCAAATTGTCTCTCAACATTAAGTAAACGGATTTCATGTGTTAAAATGTAATCTTTAAAGCAAGCTTTTCATTAGCTTATTGTAGGGGGATACACTTTCTTAGTTGGCATTTGCTAGAATGTAGTGATCTGTGCCTCTGATTTAGTTTGTACGTGAACTTAGGATACGTCAGGGAATCAAGGCCAAAGGAAGCCTCTGAGAGGATGGAATAGAGGGGACAAGCATCTCTCCTCTTCCCATCCTTAGCACATATTACTCTTCCTAACGCCAGCTACCACCAATTAACGTCTGTCCTTTCAGGCCTAGAAGGCAGGTGAGTGTCTAGGTCAGCCGTGGGCAAACTACGGCCCGTGGGCCAGATCCGGCCCGTTTGAAATGAATAAAACTAAAAAAAAAAAAAAAAGACCGTACCCTTTTATGTAATGATGTTTACTTTGAATTTATATTAGTTCACATAAACACTCCATCCATGCTTTTGTTCCGGCCCTCCGGTCCAGTTTAAGAACCCATTGTGGCCCTCGAGTCAAAAAGTTTGCCCACCCCTGGTCTAGGTGCTTAGGAAGGATAGTGAGAGCTGCTGTGCGCATGTGCTAGTTTAACTTTCTAGTGAGCATATACTTGCTCTCCCATACCTGAACCCTAAAATGCACTGGAAAATGGTTCAGGGCTCAGAACCTAGTTTTGTCATTGGCTTGCTTCTGCTGCTATTTTTTTTTTTTAAGATTTCTGTACTGAATGAACTGAATCTTCTTTGTAGATTTCCAGCACATACTTATAATATAAGGCCCACCTTGGTTGCCTAAATTAGGAGAACACAGCTAAGGTCATCAAAAGGTTCCCACTACAATCCTACTATGTGCAAGGAACTCAGTAGGCACTTTGTTGAAAAAAAAAATAAAGAGTGGCTTCTAGGGTATAGTTGGACTAAAAATCATGGCAGTAACATTGCAAACATTATCACACTTATGTTCTATGGTTATTTATTTCCGAAACCCTTCCCTTCCCACCACTTACCAGGAAGACTTTTCTTCCAGGCTGCAATCATTTGACAGGATTGCGATCTAAAGAGTTTCTTCTGATTCTGGTTGTGTTCTACCATTTCCCCATTCTCCTTTGGTTTTGCTTCCTTGCTTTCATTCAAGTTACGATTATGTTTTGTGATTCCTGGATGGGCTCCTGCACAGCCTTAAAAACTATTTTTCAGTTCTTCCCTTTGGGCTGTTTCAATCTAAATTTCTTCTTTTTATTATAACAAAACCTACATAATCCCTCAAACCGCCCCCCCCCCCGCCCCAATCTACTCTCCTGCAAGCCTATGGTAACAGACACCCCTTAGTAGTTCACCTTACTAGGGCGTTAAAATTTAATTACATTATTTCCACCTTTGTTTTGTCGTCCAAACCACTAACTCCTGAATGTCTTGCTTTATTTTCTTAAATAAACTGTTCCAAGTAATATGTGATTGACATAAAGGAACTTGTTCTCAAAGCATGCAAAGTTAGAGCACTGAACCAGTTGTCCTAACTGAGCAAACAGGTGATCACAATCTTAGAGTTATTCTCCTTTAGTATATGAGATTTATCATTTATGTTTTGGCTGTGATATCCTCGTGTTTGGGTCTTATCTGCAGGGTTTCCTATTTTCAGAGTTTTTAAAACCATGGAGTTATTTATCTCTAGTACTCTTCATTCCTGGCAAATATTTAGTTTCT